CTGTCTAGGTTTTCAGGATATCACTTTCTCCTGCAATACCACCTTTTTAATCCCTCAGTCTTGCAACCAACCTAAGTGACATCCTCAACTTTACACTCTCACCCTTCTTATCCAATCTATTGGCAAAGCTTTTTGATTTTGACTTTGCAGTGTCTCTCAAATATTCTCCCTTCTCTCCTTGGACACTGCCATCACTCTGTCATAGGCCCTCATTAAATCATGCCTGGACTATTGCAATAACCTGCCAGTGGGTAGGTCTATCCTCCATTTGCCTGCTAGTGATTTTCCTAAAGTGCAGGTCTGACCATGTCACCCCACCTCCAACCCTCATTCAGTAAACTCCAGTGATCCCTTTTGCCTCTAGAATCACATTTAAAATTACAAAATCCTCTGGCAATCAAAGTCCTTTATAACTTAGGACCCTCCCATCTTTTCAGTCTTCTTACATCTTAGAATCTGTCTCTTTGGTATAGTGACACTGGTTTCCTTGCTGTTCCTTAAACAAAATACTTCATTTCTTTTTGGGGGGTATTTTCTCTGACTGTGTTTGATGCCTGGAATGTTCTCCCTCCTCATCTCTGCTGACTGAATTCCCTAGCTTCCTTTAAGGTCCAGCTAAAATCCTATATTCCATAGGAATTCTTAATTCTAGTACCTTCCCACTTTAAAATTCCTATTTATCTTGTATATAGCTTGTTGCATGTGTGTATACATACTTACATATATATATATTTATATTTTTGTTTATTGTCCCCTCCCATTAGATTATGAGTTCCTTGAGGTCGAGGACTGTCTTTTGCCTGAGTTCAAATCCTATTTACTAGCGCTTACTACCTGTGTTTCAGTTTCTTTATCCTATAAAGTGAAGTGTTGGAATTTATGGCCTCTGAGGTTTATTTCAGCTCTCTCTATCTTATCTATGATCTAGTTTGATCAATATCTTTAATTTAATTGTATGGTAGTAAAGCTGTGGTCTTTTGTGGATTATTACTTGTTTTCTTCTATCAGTTTTCTTCTAATACCATTATCAAAGATGCTCACCTTCCATTTGTGTAGATTATTCTCATAAAAATTTTATATAAATGATTTCCACATAAATGTTGGTAATTCTTTTATTGGTAATAATAACGATCAAACAAAAGTTTAAACAAATACTTCTCAAAATAAGAGTTACAAATGGTATACTACCATATGAAAGCATGGTCGAAATCAGTAATAATAAGAGAAATGAGCTCTGAGGTTTTACCTCACAGCCAGCAAATTGCCAAAGATAACAAAAGATAAGAAATAGTTAATTTTGGAGAGAGTTACTGAAGGACAGACACACTAATACATTGTTGGTGGAGCTGTGAATTAGTACAGATACTCTGGAAAGCAATTTGAAATTTTGCAAATAAAATGGCTAGTATGTCAATTCTATGTGAATCCCAGATTACACTGTTGGGCCTATACCCCAAAGAGGTCCTTAACCAAAAAACCAAAAAATATATACTAATACCCCAAAATATTTATAGCAACTTTTTTTTGTAGCAGCAAAAATTAGAAACAAAAGTAAATTATGGAGGTAAATTGATGAAGAACCTCTATATTATCTATTATGAAATGTATTTGTGGGGGAAGATGATTATGTATACGTACATATATATCACACTTTGTCAAGTGTCCTTCATGGAATTGTGGAATTAATAGAAAATGTAAAAAGAATAGTTACAAATTCAATTTTTGACATGTGAATTTTCTTGCTACAATTTTTAGTTCATTCTTTTTGTAAATTTTACTTTAAAATTCCTTCTTATCTAATGAAAATATTATTCTTGGGTATCAGTGATCTATTAATCATTAAATCTGATAGGTCAAGAAAGTTGAAGATGCAGGAAATATTCTATTTGAAGTTTTTTCAGTTGTTGCCCTGGATATTCTCTCCTACCAAGATTTCTGGAGCATTGGCTTCCAGGTTCTCCTTCAACGTGTCTGCTTTACCTTAGTCTTATTTTATGTTAATTATTTGTCTCTCATGACCTAAGCATGTATGTTCCTATTAGCTTTGTTGTAGGCCCTGTTCTTTTTTCCTATACATTTACTTATTTGTTGGTTATTTTTTGGTATTATAGGCAGAGAGAACCAGTTTTTGTGTATCTTTAAATTATTACTTCCAGGTTTCTCTGTCTCTCTCTGTCTCTGTCTCTCTCTTTCTCTCTCTCTCTCTCTCTCTCTCTCTCTCTCTCTCTCTCTCTGTCTCTCTCTCTCTCTCTCTCTCTGTTCTCTCTCTCTCTCTCTCTCTCTCTCTCTCTCTCTCTCTCTCTCTCTTCTCTCTCTCTCTCTCTCTCTCTCTCTCTCTCTCTCTCTCTCTCTGTCTCTCTCTCTCTCCCCATTTTGTAGGGAAAAGTTTTTGATCATTTAGTAAAAAGTATTTATAAACTATTGTTCACAATGTTCTGTTCAGCTTTCAATTTTTCTTTATGCTGCTTTTTTCAGCAGGTAGATTATATTTAGTCTTTATTCATAATTTTTTTTCTGTGGAAGAATTGAGATGTTTAGAAAAAATAAAATAATCACCAAATGTTTACAAGATTCAGAATAAATAAACCTTATTTATTGTGATTTACATGAGCTATTCATCTATAAATAGAAGACTAAAGGGAAATTGGTGCTTGCTAAAGAATATATAGTTTAAAATTGTAACTGGTTTATGAAAAACAAGCTAGTAGGATGAGAGATTGTTTCAAAGTATATTATATCTAAATGCCAATTTTATGCCTCTATTAATACATTCTTATGTATTTGCATATTCTATTTTCGATTAACTATTGCTGCTGAAAGGATATAATCCAAAATGAAATTTAAATACCTCATCCCCTGCCTTAAAAAATATTTTAGGTTGAATTGTACCTGTAATTAAGGAAGAAAACTGAGCCCTGGGAGCTAGGTAGGACTTCCAGCTATTGATCTGTGTAAACCCTGCTTACATTGTCAAGGGAGAAACAGTCAACTGCTGAGCTGCTTTGTCACTGACATAAGCTGAGGGAGGATTTTTTTTGTCTATACTGTTTATATTCCAGTCTATAGACCTGCTGGCTGGTTGAATTTTAAAGAGTGCGGAGGTTTAAAGACTTGTCCCCTGAGGGATGCTCCTGCCAGTTGGGAAGCGAGCTGAGGCTGTTTCGCAGAAGTTATGTGCATGTGTGTTAGTTGGGATGAAGATAAAAAGGGGGAGGGATGGGAATTTTAGTAATGAATGGGGAAGCAATGGATTTTATTTGAGTTTCAAAACTGATACATGATGTATTATAATTTGTACATATTTCTATTAAAGTGTAGAATTGTAAACACTGATGGGTTTTTAAAATCTGTATCATAATTTGATTCTGAATACATAAATAGTATATACTCTTCACCTCTAGTTAAATCTTCCTAATTTGGTAAACATGATTTTTGTAGTTACTGCAAATAAGAATGATTAGCAAAACAATAATTTTCATTTTCATTTTGCTTAATGTAAGTAGAGTATAAACAAATGATTGAATGAATGTCTTCTTTGATATCAATTTATTAATATTTTACTGTATTATCAATTTTTATGTAAGTCTATTTGTTTTGATTTTTTGTTTGATTTATTTGATTATTTATGCTGTTATATCCATGTTAAAACTGCTAGCAGGGTCTTCTGAGGATTTTTTTTGTCTTTGCCCCTCTCATAAAGGGATTTTCACAAGCCAGAAAGTGTCCCTGCTACAAAGGTAGAATATTGTCTTTTACTTTATCTTATTCTTTCTGTCTTAGTTTTAAGGTATTGATATATTCTCCCAGCTACTAGAATTATAACTTTATAATGGGTCACTTTCTGGTAATATCTTGAAATATTCTCTTAAGCTGCATTTTGTACTTGAAAACATTTCAGTTGATTCTCGTTTTTGTGATTTTACTCAATTGCAATTTTATTGATAAAGAAATTGGGAATAGATAACTTTTCAGTATATTGTACACAGATTTTTTTTGCCTTATTGAAACAAATATTAGAAACTGAATACTTTGCTCTAAATTAAATATGTAGTCCTGACAGAATGTTTAAAGATATATAGAAATAGAGATGTTTTTCTGTCTCTGTACTTTATCTCTAAAAAATGAATTAATTTTAAGTATTTACTAGGAAATATGTAAATATTCCTTCTTTTCATGTTGTCAGGTTATTGGTAATTATTTGTATTTTGCTGCATTTGCCCGATGGACTTGTTTTTTCTTATCTTTAATTCTTATTTTTGTAGTTTTCAGCTAATGAGGCTTTTTCTTCATTTTAATAAAAATATTTTAATCTACTGCTAAGTATCTTAAAAACATGCAAGATAGAAATACTGTATTATTTAATTCAATTGTTTGCGTTATGACTTCTTTTTTAAGAGTGAGATTTGTAAAGAAACTTAGTTGTTAAGCTGTATCAAGGGGTTAACTATGTAAATGCCTTTTTTTAAACCAGTGGAAGATCTTTTTTAAACATTTGACTGTGAAACATGTAGAGTTGTTATACCTCTCAGTAATTCATTCTGCTGCCAACTTCATTCCCCTTTCTCTGCCTGCATTTTAATTGAAACAACATTTATATTTTTGAGCCAGGATCTGTCAGAAGTCCCTGTGGCTAGTCTGTGGTACAAGTAGCAGCAGACGTGGCTTACCCATATGGTGCGGTGCTTCTTGTAAAATCCATATGGCCTTGTTGAAGGGAATCCCAGCGGGGATGTGAAGGGTGTTAATACCCTTCAGGCCAGGCCTTTCCCTCCTGGGGCTTCCATGGCATTGTCTTTGCAATCTGCCAAAGCACAAACATAATTCCTTTTTAATAATCAATTATTTTAGGCTAGGAATTTGTGCTGTAGTTCTTGGGGGAAAATCTGTATATATATATATACATATATGTTAAATTTTTTTTATAGAAAACACAAAAGAAAATGTTAATTGTAAAATATGAAAAAGATTGATTAAAATTTGTTTTTTTTTTGCATTTATAGGAAGTGCTGCAGAGTGTGCCAAAGTTCTGTTTCCCTTTTGACATTGAAAGGTACAGTATAATTAATTGAGGTAATTTTAGCTTTATGGTAATATGTCTTAAAAGCTATTTAAAGCATATATTTTCAGTGTAAACGTAATTTTTGTTACTATATAGTATTTAGTAAACAAAACTTTTAAATGAAATAATGAGTATTATGGATTAAGGTGCTTATTAAACTATCAAAGATTCCTTCTCATCCTCTTCCTTTTCCACAAACCAGTTTGGAAATGTTAGTTGTCAGTTTTTCCCATTTTCCCCCTTTGTTCTTCTGGAACATGTTGTAAATGCTAGCAGAAACATTTTAATATGCACTTGATTAAAACCTTAAAATTATGTCTTTTGATATAGATCTATAGATCCTAGTTTCTGTCTTAAACTTGTGCCTAATTGAAAATACAATCTGCATAATATAAAACTTGAAGATAGTTGTCTACTAAGAATAGCTTTATGGTAATATGCATTGTACTAGGGGGAAAAATCTAACAGGTTTGAAAATCTCTTCTTTGTTGTTCACTGAACAAATAGTGGCTGAAGTATTGAATAAGTATCAGATTAGAATTTCTTCTGAGTGTCCTATAGTTCCTGATGTAAAAATCAGATCATTTGTTAGTTTCTTTGTGATTTACATACATTATTAGCAAGTTCTTCTGAAATCAGCATTATATTTTAGTGAAGTGATGATAGATTGTTAAGATACTTGGGTTTTTAAGATTTACTTTATTAATGATAAAACCATTTATTACTTTTTTTAAGAGACTGAAAGGTTTCTTAAGAAGGTTGAAGGAAAAAATTCTGTTACCAACTAGGCATTCCTTAAGAAATATCATAGAAAAATGGAAAGAGAAAAGCCATGAAATGAAGCTACAGAAATTGGATATACATTGTCTCTAATGAAATTGTTTATATTACTTTTTAAATGCAGACAATAGCATTCCTTAAATTTTGTGGTATTTGCAGTGGTTAAACTTGTAGTATACAGGCTTAAACCATTTGGGAGCATCATTGCACCAATAGTGATATAATTCCTTTTTAGAATTCATTTAAGCACTTCAAAACCAAAATTCAAGAGTCATGGGCATTCAGTTTTGGAATACGGAGTTAGGTAAGGTTCTGTTACTGACCTCCAGTGGCAAGAATGCAGTCAATAGTGTTTTGTGTGTGTGTGTGTGTGTGTGTGTGTGTGTGTGTGTGTGTGTGTGTGTGTGTGTGTGTGTGAGTGTGAGTGTGTGTGTGAGAGAGAGAGAAAAATACGTGTTTCTGTGTTACAGATAACACTACACATATATTCATTTATTATATGTGACACAAAAATATAATTTCAGTACAAAGTCATTTATATTGTCCCTTTGATATAATAAACATAGCTACTTATTTTGCATATAATTACATAATTTATCTCATGTATTAGCTTAAATTGCTTGTAATTAACTTAATTTTCTGTACAAAATGCATTTAATTTATTTTTAGACACCTGTACTTCAGTAACATAGAAGTAATTCTGTAAATGTTTTTTAAATATGTTGATTACGGTTTCCAGCTGTTGGTTTTAATAAGTTAGATTTTTGCAGGACTTTTTTTGAGTGTCAAAAGAAGCAATTATGTTTTTTTAAAATTGGAGAGATTTCTTTTTATAAATCCCAAGCTATTAATGAAGAATAAGGCATTTTGAACTTTGAACTCTTAGGAAGGCTATTCAGCTAGGAATTGAATATTCCCCTGGTGATTGATTAATTACTGGTTAATTAAGGACTTGGATGAATTAAATGACTATTGGTACAATGCTTCAAAAATCTCTAAATTGATCAGTGCTGCTACTCCTTTCATAAATGTAAATTATAATATTTCTATGAGAAACCAAATCATCCCTCTGTTATCCCAAACATTTGATGAGTCTTAAAACAAAACAAAACAAAAAATTTTACTCTGATTCCCCTTTGTGGCATAGAGGTGATCTTGGGTTCTTAAAAGCCATTCCAAGAAACCTAAAGTTCTCTTGGGAGTCCTGCTTGATAGAAAGATTTCAAGTATCAGCATTGTGATAATTATTGGCATAATCGTAATTGGAAAATAAGAGTTGTAGAAGACCTAAACGCCATTTGCTTGGCTTTGTGTTCAGGATACAAATAGAAGTAAAAATAGAAAAAGCAAGCAAACAAAAAATAACAAATGTAGAAACCCTTGCCATTGAATAGCAAGAATGCTGAACTTTAAATATTCTTCATAAATGAGAATAGTGCTGTTCATATACCATCAGCAGAACATGTCCTTGACATCGTTATTTTAGTTCCAATATAGTTGTATTGTTTTAAATCACACACTATTTTCTGATCCAACTCAACAAGCATTTATGAATTTCCTAGTGTATACTAGGCTCTTATTTGTATGCCATATGGAAAGAGATGGTAGTCAAGGACAGTACCACTTTACAAGGAATAAGGGGAAGGGAATAAGCATATGTATCACCTACACTGTGCTAAGCAGTTTTATAATCTAATCATGTGTCATCTTCACAATAACTCTGAAAGCTAGGTACTGTTTTGTTTTTCAGTCATTTCAGTCATGTCCAGCTCTTCATGATTCTGTTTGGGGTTTTCTTGGCAAAGATGCTGGAGTAGTTTGCTATTTCCTTCTTCAGCTTATTAGTTGAGGAACTGAGGCAAACAGAATTAAGTGACTTGACTACGGTCACACAGCTCTTAAGGGTCTGATGCCAAATTTTAACTTGTGTTTTTCTGACTCTAGGCCCAGCTCTTTTTCCACTGCACCACTAAATGCTTCAATATTTTTTAGAACATAAACTCCTGAGTAAAAATCTTTCAGAGAAAGATGATGAAAAATAAATGAGCCTTATAAAACAGAGGCAAGTTGTAGAAGGTAAAATCACTTCTTAAAAAAGCTTAGTAAGATCTAAATAAGAAAAGTCATGCTGAGTGCATTAAAAAATGAAACTGGAATGGGGACAACAAACAGAAAAGAAAGATAGAAGAGAACTGAAAAAATTGTTGTGATGAACTATTTTCACCTTCAAGGAGAGAAGAGCTATCACATTTGGAGTCTTAACATTGTAGTCCTAGATTTCCTTGTAAAGAAGGTTGAAATGTAATTAAAAAAGAACAAAAAGGGCTGGCTGGGTGGGTCGTGGAGAGAGGTATTTGTATTTTGCATACATAGAGGAGATAATGTGCTGGGGGAAAAAAAGTCTTTTTGTGAACACTGAAGAATCAATTCACAAAGCATTTGATAGGGGGGTGGGAAAGAGAAGTAGAATCTTGCACTTATAAATGAGTTGGGCCCAGAATTAAATAAGAGCATCAGAGCAGGCTAGCTTGCTTTTGGGAAATTGGAAACCTCTTCTAATGACCAGAGATTTTTCAATTAAACGAAGGCCCATCTTTTTAATAATACCTATACTAGTGGTGTTATGTAGCTACAATTCACAGAACGGCCCATTCCAACTCATGCCCTTATATATTGATACTCTATCAAACACTCTTTACTTCTCATTTCCTTAAATTATTCATTTCCAGTGATGTACTCCTCCACTCTACCTCAGCTACACACAAAGATGGGTCAGACCTCTGATCTTATCACCTAAGTGTTCTACCTTCATGTCATGATCTCTGAAATGTATTTATCTTACCACAATTTTTTAATCATCCATTTTTCTTTCTGTTTAATGACCCCTAAACCTATTCATCATCCTTACCTCTTTATCCAGTGTTTCTACCCCTCAGTTCTTTCTTATACCATCACCTCTGCATAGAGTACACTCTCCTCCTTTCCCCATCTTGACCTCTTAGTGAACCAATTCAGCTTTACACTCTCATCTTCTCTTGAGTCCTTTGCCCCCTTATCCTGAACCTAATCCTACTCTACCATGCCCCTAGCTACAGATTATTCCTACCATTGGCTGCCTTTACTCCTTTTCACATACATCTGATTGAAGCTAGAGAAAATTTTTAAAATGTACTGATTGCAGGAATGTGCTAGCAAATGTTTAACAATGAACTCTCCTGGGGGAATATGTACACATATACTTTCAAATTTAATCTGTATTATTATTTTTTCTATCACTTTGTCAAGTCTAGACAGTCAACAGAACAATAAATCAATATCGGATTTACAGCATTTGCCAATTTCAGAGGAGCAAACGGTCACATTTAACATTCAATCTTTGTGAGTCAGTTTGAGTTGGCTTCAGAACACCCCTGCCTTCTGGGTCTACTACTCATGTATGTACATAATCTCCACTGGGCCCTCATTGTAGCAATGTAATGTTTTTACACCTCCCACATCAATTCATAATTTTACTCACTGCAATGGCTTTTCCACAATTTTGCATCTCTTCTCAAACCTCACATCAAACCTCCACCCCCCCAATATTTTCACTGAGAAATTTGATATTTATTACTCTAAACAAGTTGGGAAACTTGATACTTATTGCACTGAAAAAATTCGATGAGATTTTCTCCTCCTCTTCATCTCATATTACTTAGATATATTCCCCTCCTGTCTCACGTGAATAAGTAGGCCTTCATGTTTTCAAGGTAAACCCCTCTACAGGCACAAGTAATCTCATTCTGTCCTGTCTGCTTCAGCAGATTGACTACTCTTATTTTCTTTCTTTCACTAAGCTGCAAGGTCTTCCTGTGTACTAACCGCTTCCTTGCTACCTACAAACATAAATCCATCCTTAAAAATTACTCACTTAACTAGTTCATCTCCTCCAGCAATCAACCTATATTTCTACTCCCTTTTGTAAATAAACTTCTCAAAATGATCATTTACAATCAGCTTCCACCTCCCTTGTTTTTAAATTCTACAGTCTGATTTCCAGTCTCATCTTTCAATTAAAATTGTTCTCTCTAAAGTTCCAGTGACCTCTTAATTACCAAATCTAATGGCCTTTTTTCAATCCTCATTCTGCTTGAACTCTCTGCTTCCGTTGACACTGTCAGTCACCCTTTTCTTGTTACTCTACTCTCTATGTATTTGTGGCATTGCTCTTT